GTTTTAAGTTGGACCAAAATACACACAATGTAAAAATTTCATCAAGATCGGTTCAGTACTTTTTACGTGAAAGAGTAACAAAGTCACAAACTTTCGCGTTTATAATATTAGTAGGATGAATTCATTGTTCCATTAAAAATCTAAAAAAATTTACTTAGTACTTAAGAACATCAACAGGAATAGTTAATCATAATAAACCAGACTGTTTTTTTTTTCAGTCATCTTGACTGTGACTTTTTTAATTCAAACATAGAATAGTAAATATTCTATTAAATTATCAAAAATAATTTAACAACGATTAATCGGCTTGTTTATTCGAAAAATTCAATTTTTTGATTAATCGGAAATTTCATTTTTCGAATAATCGGAAATTCGCTTATTTGATTAATCGGAAATTTCATTATTTGACTAATCGGAAATTCGCTTATTTGATTAATCAGAAATTCGACTAATTGGCGATTAATGAAATTTTATAAAAACTGTAAAATAAATAATAATCGATGAAAAAAAATAACCGTCGTAATAATCGATTAATCGAAATAATCAAACAGCCCTGCGGTAATACAAAAATAGAAAAAAAAGTCGAGTTGAAAACAAGCTTTGAGTATAGGTGTAAGTTGTCACGGAATTCAAATAATTAAATAATATGATTAAACGATGGAAAAGTAGGTAGTACCTACTAATAATGTAAATGCCGACTCTATTATAGGTTCTAACCATCGAACTCTAAGCGGGCCTTTGGCGACGTTACATAAAATGAAAACGTAATGGAATTTACGGAAAAAATAATTATTATTGATACTCGAACGGTGTGTGTCGTATCTTGTATGACACTGACAGAATATATTATAAATCGTCGAACGAGAGTACTACTACACACCTTTTATATAGTATTATATACTATGGTACAGGGCCGGATTGGTCCTGCGAGTTACCGAGTGAAACTCGGTGGGCCCCAAATATTTTGGGCCGTTCAAGTCATGAGAGGCCGCACTGACTAAAAATATGTAAAGAGTTAAGAGTTGAAGAAATGGAGACTATAAAATAAAATAACTATGCACGGAATAAGAACGTACCCAAGGGCCACCAGTTTTTTAAGTGGGCTGGTTAAGTACGGAAAATTCGGTGGGCCAAATTTGTCCAATCCGGCCCTGCTGTAGTATATCATACCTAATAATATAATATATAGTAGGTTTATAATATAACAAATAACACTATGTATGTGCGTATAATGATAGCGTTTGTATTCGTGTAAAATAATACGTCAGTCGGACCGCGGATTATAAATATTATAAAAAAAATATAAATAAATAAAACACGACGACAAAAAATGGAAAAACCTCTGGTAAGCTTGCCAGCAGTTTTATGGCGCCTTCTGTGTTTTACGAGCGACGATTATATAATATTACACCGTGTGACCACATCGGGTGGATATGTGTGCTCCACGTAGAATCCCCGAAGACGGTCGTTAAGCACAATCTCGGACCCAAGTTCGTGCTGGCCACTCGACCTTATCGAGCTTGAGGTCTGCGAGAACGAAAAAAATTATATTATCATGGTGATTTATGGAGTATAATATGATATTATGTGCGACGATAATCGCGTTGAAGGCGACAAGAATGATGGTACGTCACCGCTGTAGTAGATTTACCGTAAAAATAAAAACGCGACTTTGTATGAATTTTATTATATAATATGATGAAAGTAAGACTAAAAAAAAATATATATATTTAATATTGTCATTGACGGTAACACATATTTTGTCTATAACCTATTCTAACCATGTCACCAGATGAAGGCTTATATGGACATAATATAATATTATTATTATCTGTAATTAATATGATAGGTCAATAGGTCAATATAATGATGGTTACCACAACAATTTAATAGAACAGTGACCCATAGTACGCTTCATGATTGCAGTTTCGCTGTAAATAAAATACTTTTTTGAGAACACCCCCAACTACAGCCCGTAGTTAGATACCTAGTTAAATATATATATACGCATTCGACAAACTTCAGCGGCTGTTGAGGGAGGGTGGATAGGTTCTACACGCTTTTAGCCCACAAGAGATCGTTTGTCACACAACCCACGATGATAATGTGGGTGCGATGTCCATCGTTATTGACCTATTCGCACAATGTCTACTACACACTATCTTATATATATATATATAAATAATATATATGAGTCGATCCATTTAACGTAATACACTCATTATATAAGAGGACACTTTGGTTTTTGAAAATATTTCGTTTATATCATTAGCAGTGAGTCATTGCAAATCAAAATTTTTGGAAAAATGTTGTTTTACTACTTTATATTGTTATAGATTTTTAGGTTTTTTGCTCATTTGAATGATGACATATATTTTATATTTCAAACTCCGAAGCAGACTATTTTGATTTGTAAAAATCAAATTTTGGACAAGTACCTATCTGGTTCGTTAGTTATAACTTTACTAGAGTTTAAAGTTTATATGAGCGGAATAGTGGATTGACATTTTGCAGGGTATCCAGCTGTACGACACCACCCCGCGTCCCCGCCCATAAAAACTTTAGATACTTATAACTCATCATGAGCTGTCTACAACTCAATTATTATATTATATTCTAAAAACCTTCTGCTCTGGAATAAGAAATGAAAATGTGTGTGGTCATAAAAATGTTTTAAAAAAAAGTTGTTATATTTTAACAACTATTGTAATAATGACAGCGATATAAAACAAATAATATTTTCAAAAAAGTAAACATGTAGTTTTCGTTTTAAAGATATAGATATATACGTCGGCCTAATCGTCGGCCTAATTCGCAAAAGTCGTATCTCCATTTTTTGTCATTTTGGGATTATTTACTCATAAAATAAAGAAAAAAAAACTGCGTCTGTTGATACAATCAAATTTCCGATTTCATAATATTATCCTCCATGAAATTGATAATTAGAAATCGTCGTATCTCCAATTAATAATATGGCCGTAAAACGTTTTTTTCTTCTCCTGAACAATTTGTAATTTTGGACATACGACCTTTGCGAATCAGGCCGACGATATATAGATTACCCGCGGTATGCGTGTATAGGAATAGATGTATACTATGGTAGCGGTATAACAATATCATATTACAGTCTATAAAATGCATACCACATGATGATGCACTGCAGGCAGGTGTATACCAGTACGACCACTGACGTCCGTCATCGAGACCCGCGACAGACGTCTCGCCGCCGCCGTCACGCGTAATTTATGCGACCGAAAAGGATACGAGTGAGTGTGACCGCAATGGCTAACAACGCGCTTGCAGCTCCAGTGACGGACACGTCTCGCTCGGCGGACATTCAGTGAATATTAAAACTTTATGCCCACCAGCAGGTACACACACTTATTATTATTATAACACCGGTCGGGCCCGAAATGGACCGTCGTATAGGCGATGGGGCTGGCCGGGGGCTTCGGGTATATGACGTATACATACTTACGTCGTGACCGCGGTATCTTATTCGTTACCACTACCGCGGTGTACGCGCATTTATTGTCAGGTACATTATTATCATAATAATAATGTATACGCACGGTATTTGCGTCCATCAGCTCTCGGCCGACGATATACATCATGACATACATTATTATATTGTGGGTACAATATATTCGTATAATATAATATATTATTATAAATTATAATTTATAAATAATATATAATATTATTATGTACAGGTGAACGCACGTCTACTCGTAAATAGGACTCGAGTTTAACGTACGGTATAATATTATGTATATAATAATGTATATAGATTCAAACGATCTACGACAGCGGGGCGACGTACACAACGAGCGACTCACTCTGTATAATGTAATATATCGATTATTGGGTGATCCATATAAAACAAGACTATATTTTTATTTATCTATTGACGTTTTTGAAAATATTTTTTCGTCGTTACAAACACACAATAAAATAGTTTTTATTTTTTTTTTAACTTTGAATGAGTAAAGTTTATGAGTTATACCTATCTAATTAAAGTTTGAATTCACAAAACGTTGGTCCACTACTCCCCTCGTCTAAACTTGAAATATCTAGTTGCATACCTATACTATAAGCCCATAACTAATAAACTACTTGTCAAAAATTTAAATTTTAGGTTCTGAGCAGAGCGATGATGAATGTATTGATTTATAATGATGTGTGTGTGTTTTTTTTTTTTGCGTCTGTGAACACGATAAGTACTCGATATCTTCTCAGTAGTTTTCATAAGCGCAGAGGAAAAAAAAAATTAAGGAGAACCTGGAATTTTTACCCAAAAATTGGTTTTTAACAAAATCAATTTTGGTTTTTGGTGTAACTATCTAAAACAGACGACCAATAGATATAATATTACATTTTCATTGAATGTTTATATTAGAATTTACGATTTTTAAAATATTTTGACTTGTTTTGAGTTGTTTATGGACATTTTCTGTTTCAAATGTTCTTAAAGTTAAACATTTATAGCTAAGCATTGAAAATTTAAAACAAAGTTCCACGTAAGTCGATTATTCTGTAGGTATCCAAAAAAATCTAAAAATGACAAAAACACACTTTTTCTTTTTATAGTTATTTATGTTAAAACTTGACAAAATTACATATTAAGCAACCAAGAATAACGATTTTAGTTATTTTTTTGTAATTCATAATATTAATTGAACTTACCGCTACCGTATTATTAATAACATTAAGTTACAACAATATAAATATAATATAAAATATCCTATACTGATAAACCGTCTCTGCTCAGAATCGTTGTTCGTATACAATGGATATTATATTATCATTGAGTTTAAATTTAATACCATCCATTACAGTGACCCACCTGTAACCTACTGAGAGTAACATCCACTTACTCGCTTCATTTTTCATATTCTTACTTTAAAATGCGTTATAATAATTATATTACAATAAATTGGTTTTTCTTTTCATATAGATAGGTACCTACATAATATTATGTAACTCGTTTTAAAACTTTTTTACGCACTTAAAGACAGAGACAACAGTATAGTTGTACAACTTCCACGTGCAGGTGCGAGGTCCTCTAACCGTTGCTGTTGCTTTTGTTTTTTTTTACTATCATCGTCTTGGATACCTGTCTTGTTCGTATGATTTAAGTGGATAGCGCAGGTCACCGTCGGGGTCGTATTTTTTTGTTTTACTCGAAAATACGTCTGCCATACGTTTCGACATCGAACGATGGCGTTATCATCGCATAACGTCGTGTCGGTGGACCGATGAGCGTTAAACATTGTTTGACCTAACGACCGGGCGCGACAAGCAACACGTAGTTGCAGTGTACATTTTTGAACGGTTTTCGTTTTACGACCGTACCAAAAAAATTCATATTACAAAAATAGTCGGCTCGGACTAATTGCATAAAAATATACGATTATAGGTGTAACGTCATTATTGTCTACAATATTCTCATTGTTATGTTATTTGGCAGTATTGGCTGTCGGTATTTGGTAGGTTGCAAATATAATTGCAATATTGCTTTTCCTGTAAATTTTTTTTTTTTTAAAGAGATGTGCAATCTGTACCTACCCTGGGGTACATTAAGTACATCGGCTAATTTACAGTGACATTGAAATACGTTTGTTAGAAGAAGCCACCCAGTAATGAAATTTCTTGTGCTCCAGAAAATAATATATTTATTATATACCTATTGAGATATTTTACACAGCAAACGTAACGCGTTAACCTAGCTTACGTTCTACTCGAGACCGATGTGGACTATAACTAATGTACATGTTAAGCGGACTCATAATAAATTATATAGTACAATATATTTGACGGAACTTTAACGACTTGGAATGATATCGATAAGATATTTCGATATAGGTAATAGACCAATATCTCGGGGCGAATGTATACTTTTCCAGACGTCAGCACTAATTTTTAAAATGGTATTGTTAATTAGAACTACCTAACTGAGCCCTTAACATTTTTGTGCTTATAGTGTGCGCGTGAAGTAAACGGATAAATAAATCCCCCACTTGACTTTTTACTGGTGGACGTACCTATTACTAATATCGAAACTGTGAAAACAACACATTTTGAGTAGGTTTACTGAACAATAAATTGTGTTAAGACGGAAATTGAAGTGTACCACCCCTTAACGATTTCCCTCATCTTGTGTTTCATGTGTTATTTTTTATGTATGTATATAGTCATAGTATTATATCAGTCATCTATTTTACTCATAGTGTCATGTAATACAGATTGTAAATTTTCTAAAATAATATTAAAAAAAAAAAAGGTGGAAATTAGTGCTCGAATTATTGTTCAGCTAACTTCATGCACCTTTGGAATAATTCACAGTAACGAGGTCGCTCAGGATGCCAAAATAGCAACTGTGCACCCCTTTAATCACGGTTAAAGCCAAAAAGGTTTTATTCTCTGCACAGTAATAGTAATAATAATAATAATAATAATAATCTGTAACCCGGTGGACCGAATGGCTGTCAAACAACCGCTCTGGTCGTGTGACATAACGTCCAAATACTGCAGACTTGAGGTGCATATAGAACACATCAGGTCACAGATATAATATCACCGAAATATCATGATACGTAGTATCGTAATAGTATCTTTAAATAAACTATAACTATAAATATTCGATTGTTTAATGACACCTCTCGTCATGTATACATATCATATCTACAGTCAGGAACAGACGAAAAAAATAACAGAAATATTATATATTATATTATTATATTCAACAATATATAACATGAAATCGGGTGATGTATATATAAGAAATATATATATAATACACAGTTACATAGTTAAAATTTTTTACAATAAATTCATAATATATAATTTATGTTATTACTACATATTTTATATTAAAATATTATGTACGATTCGAATATATAATATATTTTTTAATTCTGACATTAATAATAATAATAATAATATTATGAAATAATAAAACCGAATAACAAAAAAAAAAAAAACAAGGTAACGTAATCAATAACAAAATTAAAAATATATAGGTACCTATACGTAATAACTTAACATATTATTACCAATTAAGATAAAAAGCGGGTCAATTACAAAATTTTAGTAAATTGTTTTGTTTTTCAAATGAAATAAAAATTAACGTGTACCTACATCGTATAATATAGAAAAAGAGCGACTGCAGTTTATTAATAGCTGGTGTAGGTATATTATACTCAGTTATTGTTGTTTTAACAATAATAATATTGTGTATAATGTATATTAATATTATTATATAATATAATAGGTAAACGTAAATAAAATTAAAAACAAATTTCGCTAATCCGCTAAAACACTCGCGACTAACGGCGGTACGACGATCATGATAATATAATAATAACACAATTAACAAGTCGTTAACATTTTCGGCAGCAGAGTTATGTGTGAGGCGACGTACCCAGTCTCGGGGCGGCAGCAGCGGCGGCGGCGGCTGCGTACGGTGAGTAGGCCACCGCTGGGAAGTACGGCGGCAGCAGGCCCGGGTGAGGTGGCATGGCCAGTGGCGAGGACGGGTAACCGGACGGGAAACCGTACGGCGAGTGGTGTTTGCCGGACGCGTACGGGTGATACCGGCTAACGGCGGCCGCGGCGGACGGGCTGAGCGGGGGCGTCGGGTACGAGCGTTGCAACAGCGGCAGAGCGGCCGCTGGGTCAGAGGTGTGAGTGCGCAGGTGTTGGAGCAGCTCGTCAGACGTGCCGAACCGCTTGCCGCAGTACGACGGCAGGTCAGCGCCCATCCATGAACACACGTACGGCAGTTGACTAGCGGCCGCGGCTAGTGCGGCCAGCTGGGCGTGTGCGTACGCCGCGGCCATCGTGTGGTGATGGTGGTGCTGCTGTTGTTGGTGCTGTTGTTGCTGTTGGTGGTGTGCCGCCGCGGATTGCTGGTGATGATGGTGGGCGGCGGCTGCGGCGGCGGCCGCTGCTGCCACCGTCTTCGGGCTAGCGTCGCATTGCGTGCAACCGGCCGGGCACGTGGCCGCCGGCTGTTGTTGTTTGCCGGCAGCCAAGTGAGCGGCAAGCTGACATCCCGCGCAATACGGGTCGCGGCACGGTAGCGGTGGCGCCCCGGCTCCAGGTCTGAAATAGGGACTCATTAGGGGCGATCCACCCAATGCCGCCATGTGGTGATGGTGATGAGGGTGCGCTGACAACTGCGGATGGTGGTGCGGTGACGGGTAACCAGCGGCTGCCATCAGAGCGGCCACTGAAGCTGATGACGACGTGAGTTTGTTGTGCGATTGTTCACTATGCTTTCTGCTCGCGGTGGCCGCATCTTCCGCAGGCGACTTGCGACTCGAAGCGCTTTCTTTGCTGCTGCACCGGTCACCGCCGCCATTTGTGGTCGCGGGCGTTGCTCTCCTTATGGTCGCATCCAGGCTGATTGACGTGGAATTAGCAGTGGCGGCAGCTGCTGCAGCCGCAGCCGCAGCCACTTCAGCGGCCGGTCGCAATACACACGACTCGTATGGTTTGAAACTGGACCGGGCCGTGGTGGTGACTGTGGTAATCGGGGCTGGCTGCAGGTGATGGTGGACGACCGACGTCCGGCCTGGAGGTGAACCGCTGTTTGAACACGTCGAAGATGACGATGATAACGATGGCGAACGTTTGTCTCGGCCACCACCACCACCGCCTCCGTGGTCAGAAGACGTCGACGAAGACGAAGAGAGTGACGACGACGTCTTCTTATGGTGGTTGCCAATCTTGTCCGAGTTTGTCTTGCCGTTCTGTGGCGCCGGCGCGTCAGATCCGATCTGACTGCACGTCTGTGCCAACAGTGCCAGCGGACTGTTTTTAGCGTCCAACTGTAAACAGAAAATAATAAAATATTATTGAAAATTTTGTAATGGTAAGATCATTGACTCGGTATTTGGTCAGGCATGAGTTCAGGACCTATGCTCGATAGTGATGAGGGTGCAGTTATTAAGTTAGTATAATATATTATACACTGTAGAAAAAACTAAAATAGTTTAGTGCATAACATCAAAAGGGCCACGTACTAAAACATAGGACATTTAGCTATTAATAAGAAATGCGATTATTAAAGTACGTTTCGCGTTCAATTTTCAAATTTATAGAAATGTATAGAAGTCATATTTTAGATTTTTTTTATTTATAATAAAAAGCCCACGATGTTGTAAAACCAACAAAACGTATTTGCTCCACTTTCGACTAACGCGACATTATTATTCTAAGTCAAGAGGTGGTCTCGTATTATATTATTATATTCTCAATGGACTTCCTTTTAAACTATTAATATTGATTTTTTTTATTATTATTTAGTATCTAACTATATATAAAATATATTATCATATTATATAGTACGTATTATTCTCTCCAGTATTGCCCTTATACTCCTCTCATGAGCAATAAATATACAATACATAGGTATCGATGACTAAATACAATACTATACGTGCATAATACCTACTGTGCGCGTATCCTAGTTTTCAATAACATTGTTTTCCCACCGGTATAATATCGCCGGGAAATTCGACAATAAGCCACATAATATTATATCATTAGACGCGTCATATATAATAATATTATGTAATACCCATGTTTGTACTTTTGTGTTTTGTGTATAACGCATAAAAATCCGCCAGCCTTCGACGTGCGACAGTAATCATCATACGTATACTGCACACGTATTATTGAAAAGTGATGTTTTTTTATACTCTTCTTTGAACTCTTCTCTCCCGGCCATAGCTCTAGTTTACGATTCTATATGCGATTTTTCGGTTTGTTCTCTTGTTCGACATCCATTCCGTGTTAGCGTCACGTGCCCGCCGTTTATCGCCAACCTTATATACCTTCAATTCACGATATTGTATTATAGTACGTTATGCCACATTTATGTGCGACAGAGATGAGTCGCAAGCATTGGATACGTTTAAATCGTGTCAACGGAAAGCGCCCCCCCTCCCGACGGAAAACAAATAACACCACCATTATAATATTATAGTTGAACGGAGTTTAAAAGACGACTTCGAAACATATTATGAAACCACGAAGTTGTTATACACAACTCAGGAAAAACAATTACGTTAATGTATACTGTGTAAATAGTTAAATGAGATAAGTAGTAAGTATAAGTAGGTAGTAAGTAGGTACCTATTTTAAGTGAGTGTCGTCTATTTATTTTTTTTTAAATCAAGATAAAAACTACTTATTTAATAAGCTTTGAAATATATCCTACACAACATTCTTCAATTATTAAATATTATTATTTATTACTATACATGTTTGTATATAATATCAGAAAAAAACATTTCATTCCGTTAATTGTCTTTTAAATATATTTGATAAAAGTTAAGGACTGCATATATTATGATAATACTATTTAACTACATGAACTTGATGATAATAACAAAACACAATATATACCTAATTTGACAATGACAGTATATAATAATAATAATAATATAATGATACACATAAACGTGTAACTTGTATTGTGTGTAACGTGTATGTATTTACCTATGAATGCCTTATAGTACCCAGACTTTTAATTTTTGAAAATTCTATGAACATTTAGAGTAGGTAGGTAGTAGGTACATATCATATAAAATATAACTCTTGCCTTCTAATAACTATGTGATATGGACGTATATGGATTATGGGCTTGTAATTACATAAATATAAAAGCGATTACAGATCAGTATGTAGGTACTTATGTTTAACCAAAAAAGGTCTGGTCATTGATTTGCATTGGGCCGAACGAGTGGTGCTTATAATGCTTATAATATTAACCGTTTGTGTAAATTAAACTCCAACCGGACAAGACACAAAAGATATGCACGTTTTGATTTAATTTTATTGCGGTATTATGCGTACCACCACAATACTACATAATATAATATTTAAGTGTGTGTTTGTGAGCGGCATGCATAATACTCGTATATAATCATCAGAGTAGGCAGGTTGTAGGTATTATATTAATATTATCTGTATTATAGGTACGTATAAGATGCCTACAATGTACCTATAATACACCGACCTCGGTGATAAGTTTCCATGGCTTATAGATAGTTGTATTGTTTTGTCGCGAATACTTGATAATAATATGTGCGAGTGTCACATGTGTTTATAAATTATAAACGTGTGCATACGAATCGTTGCAAAATGATTAAAAAAAAAAACAAAATGTATTTTGTGTGGCGAGACGAGAAAACGGATTATATAGTTACTATGTAATACCACTGGGGATACGGCTAAAATATTTTGAAATTATAACGTCTGTAAATTGACTCGTTCCAACTGAATTCCGTTCGTCTATTTTTCTCTCCGCCGTCGCCGTCATGTCTATATAGCAATATTGCATTCCGAATAGATACCTACTACGACGACGATTACTGCAGTAAGTTGTATCGTTGTACCTTGGCAATAAATCATCATAACCGGACGTCTGACACTCTGTGACGACAAGTGGTTTGTGCAATATACTTAAATAGTTTACAAGGGCGACTGTGGCTTTCTTCCGACGACGAACTCCTCGGACTGCTAACAGCAGTAGCGCACAAAGGATTTTTCAGGGAGGAGGTTGTGCTAATAATAATTCCCTTAAAATTACATACTACAGATACTGTCGATGAGAGGGGCGTAAAGTAAAAATATTTTTCAAGAAGGACATTTCTGGTGGCTGGGTGATGAGTTGTGTCCTCATAACCCTCCGTGTGCGAGCCACTGTCTAACAAAATTATTATCTTGAAAATGTAGTCCGGGGATTAAAATGCCCAAGGGGGGGATGAGGGAAGATCATCAAAATAGGTACCTACCACCGTCTCTCTCGGTAGTAACTGTGCATTCCGACATATTATTCTATCGTCGGCATAATATTATAATATCATAACCTATAATAATATTGGTTTGGTTATTTGGTGAGTATCGTAGAGAAGTCGAACGCAATAATTTAAAGGACACGATCTTAAAGCCTATACCACGGTATCTCGGCAGGCTCGAATCAAGGGTATTAGACATACTTTAAATTATAACATTACATTATCGCGATTACTTTGAGGTAGGTACTATAGTGCATACGATTTCACCACATGTCCACGTTACAACCCACACACGCAGACAGCAAGAACTCAGAGAATTCTGTCGATCGGCAGTCGTCACTCTATATATAGTGAGACTGATGTATTTCGGTGATCGGTATAGTCCCGTCTCGGAACGTTATTTGCTCAGAGGCGAATGCTTCGAATACCTTATCTGCGCAATGTCGTCCGGTGGCGGCGTCGCGAGCCGAATATAATATATACGTTGCCAGTAAGTTGTTGTGGTCTGTTGCTGGCGATTTTTCCATTCATTTTGGTGTGCGCGCGTTAAATAGTTTCTGCGCAAATATTCGGACGGTACGGTAGACTAAAATAGCCGGACGGTAAAACGATTATCGGAATTCGGATTGAGCCAGCAGCGAGTATAATAATAATAATAATAATAATATGATAAAATATATTATGGCGATTACTGTAACACGCATTGCTTAGTAAAAAGTTACGTCAAGATGGCGTGCGCGAGTGGTCACTCTATTATTTCTGTCGTACGCCCGTCGGTGGCGCGTTTACTCATTACGTTTATCGTATACGTTGTAATCAAAGTATCAAACGTACGATGATAAAAGACCCACTAACGGGTATAACGTTCTTTGTGGTAGTATCCACAGTAGTATTTTCTTTGCGTGGGCGTGATGCGTCGTACGTATTTTAGACGATTTTTCTAGGGCCGATCTATACCCCGCGGTTGATACAGGGGACCGCCAAATGTCACCTCAGCATCAAATATAAGATACCTATAATAGGTAACCTATTATATTTTATTTTATATTTTTACTCTAGACATTAGAAACGTACTCTTACCCTATAGACATAATTTAAAAACAAAAATATTGGTAATCTGATATTATATTATGATTTGGTTTCATTTTGAGCACGCCCATTTCGAGTTTCTATATGACTATTATTACGAGACTAACCTATAGTAAATATATTATAATCTATATTATATTAAATTATAAATCTTTCGGTCTACGATAGTAATCGAATGTTAAGCAATTGGTTTCCTATATGCACTCTATATTATTCTTCTGCAGCATAGGTATAACAGTTTTGACTTACGGGCATTTATCTAGTTTATGTTTGCTTGTGTATAGGTAATATATTATTATGTATGTGTCATATGTGTGTTGTATACGTCTAACGTTATAAATATGCAGACCGACAATGTCTTGCGATGCTCGGGTATGCATAATAAACACGGTCGTGTCGAGTGATGTGCAATAAATTAGCGCACGTCCGGTTCATTTAATACATAATATTATGATATCGACAAATTAAAACGTTATATGCATCCCGTTTCGGGGAGCATGGTGTATCTTGTCCGTCTCGAACGAGCGGTCATCGCGGCGTTCAGGCGGGGACGTATTATAATATTATAATGATGAAACAGATATATACACGTCGTAAATAATATTTTATCGGCACTATAATATATTATTATGTACTCGGGCGAACGCTTTTAGAATAAACTATTACTCGTCGTCGTATTAATAGTATATAATATACATTATGTGTACCTCTGCACTCCTGGCACGGGATCGTAACGAATAAAAGTCGGGCTATTATATTTTGTATATTATAATTAAGTGTGTAAAACGTAAAATAATAACGCGCCGAAAACTAGTTATTGGGGCTGCGCAATAAAAGTAATATTGCAGGTATCGCGGTTATAAATCGCGAGCAGCCGTGTCGGAATAGGTTTAAAGACCTGCTCACAATTAACATTACTGAGCTAGCGACTGCATCAATCGGAATATAATTTAGTGAAATCATTGTACGGACATTAGACATGCATCGCAGTCCATAAACACCACGTATCTATGGTAATAACTAATAACTAATAATAATAAAATGCAGTTGGTTATAACTTTATAACTATAAATCAGTGGTATAAGAAAAAAAATAAAAACCATCAACGTTTGAGTGCGATGTACATATTATTTTATTATAATTATAATCTTATTATAATCTAGACAACGTCAGTTTTGAGCTTTTGGCCACAAGAATCGTTAATATAATATTCGCATCTAGGTTGTTCACATAATTTTTTTGAACTGTTCAGAATTATTGATCAAAATTAAATGATGACAAATACTCGACTCTATAATATTTTAAACCGAAATCATAGTCACCGTGTATACCTGCCCAGAGAAATGAAAAACTGACCAATCACTTTAAGGAACTTTATCATTGTTTTAGGATTGCACGCTGACAACGATTGTGCCGGTCAAAACTCGAACGACTAGACAAAAAATTTTAGTTTAATTTTCCTCTCTGTCCCTACGGACTACGACTGGTGTTAATATATTATTATTATTATGTAATATCATCAGTTATCGTTTTCCACAACGACACGGAACTGTTAAGCCTGACCGGAATAGGAAGATTAGCTACCGATAATACATTCAAGATATTATAGCAATACAATATCTATCTATAGGTACATATTATAGCACGAAGTCTTTGCCTCAATCTTATTCACGTTCCAGTCGCGAAAACCCGTCAATAAAAGGCTTGTTGGACAAATTGGCCGTCAGAATATTATTATATTATATATTTATATTATTATAATAGTGTAATATTATACACTCACGAGTCTGTTTGGTTTCGGCAGCTAATAATGTAATGTAATATAAGGGGCGGTAGGTGTACACACCTCTCGTTCCGGATCGTTTTCCCTTCGACCTTCCCCTCATCCATTTTCCCGTCGATCGTCAGACTTTGCCGCCGCTCGTCGATACGTCAAAGTCCTATAACAAGCCTACAGTTTGCGCATGCGCTCGTGTGCAGACATCAAAAACGACGACAACGACGACGACAAGCACTTCTGCGACGGGTGGGTGGAAAACCATTAACGAACCGACGATAGGGGTGGTGAAAAAAAACACACTTCCCCTCCGCGTGTCATTATCGAACACACACTCACGCGCCTGGGCCGTGGCGTAATCGATTTGCCGCCGGCGCTCAAATATACCATTTCTCGCATCGGCGTTATAATATTATATGAGACGAAGACGTGAACCGTTCGACGACGTAGGTTTATAATATTATTATAACTTATAAGGACGTCCGTAATTTACTGTAGGTACCTATGTGAAAATGTACCTATTATAAATGTTTGTTTATAATAATAATATTATGTGGAAGTCACGTATTGGTTTTTAAATTTTATTTTGCTTTCGCTATCCTGGCGTACGCGCCTTGTTTGTTATATTATTGTTATTATTGTGTGACACGTCAAATCAATATTGCACGCGAGTCTTAGTGAATAAATCAAGTGTCGAGTAGACATAGCTTCGGTGGCGGTATTTCTCCCCGGTCCCGCCACAGCCACCCACAACCAACTCGACGCGTATTGTTATTATTATCGTAGTCGTGTCCGCAGGGGGTTAACGTCCTCCTATTTTTCTTTTTCTTTTCTTTTTATGGCTTTCCGATCAAGCGATTTGGATACTCGATCGCTTTACATAATATTGTGTATAAGTAGATAGATGCTAGGAGGATTCGTTGCTTTAAAGTCGTTTCAATGAAAACATCTTCGTTGCCGTTGTATAATACGCATTTCTAATATTATCTTAAATATAAAGTTGTCAATTACTATCGAAACGAAACAGTTATCGAAGGTTTTGATTTGACGAACAAGTTAATATTAGTATGTACCTATAACCGCCAACGCGAATTCAGACACAAATTTTCATTTTTGATTTAGGTATTTATAGTCGTGTGTAGTGTGTACGTGTGTACGCGATCACACGGATTGTTGCGGTTGGGCTGAATAATAATATTTATCAGTATCATATTATAATATTTTATTTACAGGGTTTTCTTTAATTTTATATTTTTTTCCATTACACAACAGATCTTTAACTCATGGCATACTGATTTTCAACAGGGCACTATAAATGAAAAAAATCGTCAAGTTTAGTCCCATCATCAACAAAATAACTCATAACTCAGGGTCTCCGGTGATCGAAGTTTTTTTTTAGATGTAGTTATTTAATTTTTAAGTATGTCACTTACGATTTAATCGTTTATTTTTTTACATTTCTTTGGTTAGTTTATAAAACGTCTAACCTTTTAAAAATAAAATGAACTACCTACCTATCTAAATACAGTTGAGCAAATATAGGTACCTAGACGTTTAAAAGCATTTAAAGTTGATAATATTTATAATTTAAACGGTACTACCAATTTTACGTAAACGAAATAAAATTTTTTTGGTATTTTATGTATTAGTTTAACATATTGTTATTAAATTTACTTAGTATTGAATGTACATATTATTTAAATTAAATTCTAATCAAAAAATACAATTTTTATCATGTACGTTATATTTCACCCTGAACGCAATTTTAGGCCCGAACTGAGATTTTTTTATTTTACCACAATAAAAACCACTATTGAAAATAAATGTAATACCTAATTTTTGGAGAGCATAAGTGCATACCAGCGACAAAAATAATGGAATAAAATAATGTTACACTTACCGACGGTAGAGGAGTTAAATAATCCGGTCTCAGGTATTGGTTTTCGTTACTCATGATCATGGTTCGCACTGTACATACACACTCGAGTGGCGTATCCGGCGTGTTACACTATAGGTGTATGTGAAACACCGGACGAAATAATTTATGGTGACAAAAAAAAAAAAAAATGTTTTTCGTTAACAATGTTTGCAAAAATAATGTTAAGTACAAAATCCGAAACGAATTTATTACTGACGGGCGCACAGACACACTGGAGCGTATACCTACGACAAATAATAATATTTTCAAGACGGTCGCGGCGAGACGACTGTGGCGTACGGCAAACGGCTGCGCGGACAGACGTCGAACGGTGACGGCCTTCGGTGTTGCACTGCCGCGGAGGCCGGTGTAGCACGAGTGCGGCGGCGGGCTGACGTTGCGCTAACGTCGTCCGCAAAGCGATGGCCGGACGGTGGCTCCGTCTACCGGCGGCCAGGGCGCGCGCGCAACAAATCACTTTGCTGACAAACGGGCGACTTTCAGCACGACCGCCGCGACCAGTAAAGCCGCCATAATATTATAAACCGCGGTGGAGTCAAGATCTGATGGCATATCGCATAGTATCTAAGCGGGTGGGTGAGTGGGTGCGGTATGGAAACTCTATAATATGATAGGGGTGAGAAAATCGCGAAAGCAACGGAAGGACCTAAAATATCGCGTTCGAGAGTATATTATTGATTCGACGGATCCGGAAAATCTATTACCAATAATACTGTAACGGTTTTGGTGAATATGTCAAGATGAAAAACAAACGTGGGCGAGGAAACTGTACTATGGTAGGACACTAGGACGCCAAAATGTGTTGGGTTCATCGCGAGTTTATGTTTAGATATTTTAGTGTAAAAATATACTGACATGAGTGCAACCCTTATCGTACGATTAATAAATAATATGGTTAGTTACATATTATAGACATTTATACGGAGAACACCTGCATCGATTTTATACAACGTTTACTATTTTTTCTGAATGGAAATTTGATGTGAGGATATGATCAATTTATTATGATATACTATAATGTATATACAGGGAAAAAATATAATTGGGTTTATATTCTGAAATTTGCAAAATTAAAATATAAGAGACAAGAGGCAATTTAGTAATTTAGTGGTTCAGCACATATAATCACATATCATCTCCCCTTAAAAATGGTTTCTGAAGTGAGCAGTGTTTGAATTGTGGGATGACTTGTGGGGCGATGGTATAGAGTCCCTTTCTTTTAAAAAAAAAAATTTCAGTTTGCCCCTTCTGCGTATTATATTTTATAACAAATATGTCATTTAAAACTGCAAGAATATGTACACTTTTATATCGACTTTCTAATTTTATTTTCCAATTCAAGCCCTATTGGAAGTGTATCTAACAGCCCCCTTTGTAATTAGTAGGTATCGTTGGTTTTATAATTTATAACAAACAGTAATCTGTATAGATATACTGTTACTATACTGTATACAGTATATCTATAAAGTGGAGTGTATGTTTTAATTCGTCGGAACGGAAGGAAAACTGCAATGATAATAATATAATTTAATAAAAATATTAATAATAATATAGCATCGCGTCTAAAACGATACAAACGCGTTCAAATGTTGTTTTTGGCACACGGCGATGCGCACATCTGCGCAGTGTGTATCATGCACACACACACACACACACTATCTGGGCTCGGGGCCCAATTCGGCCGTCGATTCCAAGTGTATAATATACTATTATGTACGACAACACAATGGTATAATATGCTATATTACTATGCGTGCGTGTCTCGGCAGTCAGCGACACAATGTACGAATGTCGACCCGGCGGCGATAATGCGGTTAGAAATCGTCCAAAACGGGTTCGGTCCGTTTAACGCTCGTCGCCGTGTAGGTACAACCACGCGCGGCGCTTCTTTATGATAACTCGAAACCCAAATCATTTCGTCGGTCGGCCAATGTTTTAACCCGTCCGGTCGGCGGAAATATTATTATACTATAAGCGTGTTTGTCGTGCCATGCGAAATTTATATTCGTACGCGTGTTCGATATTGTTGCGCAAAAACAATAATGATAATATTATCCATTGAATATTATGAAATTGAAGACAAAAACTGATATTAAAACAAAAAAATAATAATAAATAATCAAACCAAAAAACAGTCTCGTAAGCACGTTTTCCGACTTATACTCCTAGTGTTGGAAGTTAAGAACACTTTTTTATAAAACTAATTCATCTATCAATCATAAATACATTTAATAATATATTAATTATAAAAGAATCAATGATGTACAAAAAAAAAAAAAAGGATAAGCTTAAAACGTAACTTTGACTATAAAAAATAATAAATATCTATTTACAATAATAATATACCAAGTGGGATAATACCTATAATATTATTAACTTAAAGTCATTAAAAAGAATATAATATTTTGTTTTACATATTCACATTATGTTACAATTTGTTGGTCATATAGTCACTACTTTATAATTTTAAATCGTATTTTTATTATTTTTATTTTTAGACCTTTTATATTATATTATAATATGATCATGTCTTGAGATCTTGAGTGCTATCATCGTCATGATTGTATAGTTATTTTAATTTTCTTAGAATAATAAATTCGTCTTCTACTTAATACACTTTACATTTGCATTTTTTATTTATGCGCCACCACGTATTTTCGTTTAGTTAATTTTTTTTTATTGTGGCTTATATTCTATATTTCTATATATCATTCGCAAATAAAGTGTCCAAAAAAAGAAAAAAATTTCAGGACACAAATATTATTGAATGTGAAAAAATGTGAATCTTGTAGATATAATATTAGACAATATTCTAAGGGTATTTTCGGTTACAATGTCAATTATTTTTTTTATAGGTTTTACAATGGTTTGTATACCAAATCAGCAATCAGTAGACAGCTGCAGTGCAATACCGACTTATTTTGTCAGTCGTTTTCATAATTTATCTCCGTGTTGGTTTTGTGGTGAACATAATATTATTGTTACTATGTAAGAGCAAGGGGATACGACGCAGTACACACTCATATTATGTTAATTTTGCAGAAGGATAATCGCTCGGTGTATGTAAGGGGGGAGGGAAGGGGCACCTCAACCATTCTTGAACGCGGTCTGCACAGTCGTCCGGGTGGTATCCCTCCTGATGTATAAGTACCAATAATTCATATTTTATGTGTCTTATATTATTATATGGTTGTTGGCCGTTGGGTCGTTGAAATATGCATACCTACGATACGCACGCGCACAATATAATTACATCCAATTATACGCCATTATATGATATATAATAATAATAATGATACTGCTGTATACGTGGGAATTATTTACGAGATATTGCGCATTTAATGTAAATGCAAATCACTTGAAATTATTTTGAAAAATCATTCGGATACATTTCACTACAAAATATTATAACTTATTTTATTGTAAGCGTGATATCATCATTTCGTTAAAGAATATTTCCAGCCTGAATGTTGGCGCGACGACAGCGGCTGGCCTGCAGCGCAGTGTTTATCTCCGGCTGTAACCGTGTTTCTGGTTAGTCTACCTATTAGGCGCCTAAAGCTGGGTTCACAGCTGGGTTAAAATGTTATCTACATCGCGGTTCACAACGACGTGGTTTGTCGTATTATGTATTTTTTTTATCGTATTCTGATTGGCTGTTGATACCATTCACTAACCATGATCTACTGGGAAAAATTCCATAGTTGGGCCGAGCTCAACTTTACTTTTGGACACGAAATTACAGATACTTAGCTGTGAATAGGATTTAGTACTCCGCAGTCCACATCGGGTGATTGATCGTAAATCCCTGTAAGCGTAATGTACATAATATTATACCTATATAGCTATATGATATACCATAGTCTATATTATAGTTACACCATGGTATAATTATTATTATGTTTATACCGGGAACTACGAGTGTCAACTCAATGTTTCGTGAACATTACTGTACTTATATTTTTACTTGACAGTTGGCATGCGTTTTTAAAAAGTGAGATAAGTTTAGTTTTATATACGGAAATGGGGGGACATTATCGTGAGTATATACTGCAGTATACATTACAACATAATATGACTATATAGCTTCATAATATTCTCATTAATCATATAATATACTATATATATATATATATAGTAGGTATGTATATGTATACAAAAATGTGAATTTATATTTTACTGCAGCTATTACGTACCATGGCATGCGCAAAAAGTTCGTATTTATATATAATGATATTTTCAAACGCTGAAAGTTTAATTTTCCTGTGCACATAGAAAAACGTTATATCCGCACACAGCACCATAGGGCGCTATAAAGTTTAAGAATACCTTAATATTTGAGGTATATCTAATATTATAATTTGCAATATGCACAATATAATAACCTTACTAATTACTATGAAGGTTTTATTTGTCACTTGTCACTATTGTCACTTGTCAGTGTCATATACTGTCATTAACGCAGAAGTATGTACCTATATATATATAGTAGGTATATATATATATATATACCTACTATACAGACGCACAGTATAATATAAAAATATATTATGGAAACAAACATACATTTACTCACAACACGCCTGCCGTTATTTCAGTATACAAAATAAATATGAAAAAAACAAGAAACAAAGTGTTCGCTTTAGTCACATAAATCGATAAATCATTTGAATATTTAAACCGACTAAAATATCGACAATGGGACGAAAAACTCAATTTCCATCGGACGTGCCAAGCAGACTACAATACAATAGGTACATTTCAATTTTCCCACCGAGTGCATGATGTACATATTATTATTGTGTATCCACGCACCGTGTCAGCAGATGGAAGACGTTTCCGAAACAATAATAATATTGTTAACTCGAATCGATCTTACGCACCCGTTCGGGAGGGATCTCATCGGAGTGAAGATTTTAACGACTCAATAACAAACGAATCCGAGTGAAATTAAAATGGAAGAATAATAAAAAGTGGCCGCTGTTTAACTACGGCATTAAACTCCTGCCGTTGCTATAGAA